CCACGCGGCGCCTCTGGTTTCCATAGCAAACTGTCCATCGGGGTTTAAAAGGGGTAGAGGATACGAGACAAAGTGGAAGCTCGTCTTTACACTCGGCTTTTACAACTCAGCAGCAGAGGATGAGCAAATGCATCTGCAAAATTTAGTAGCCGCAACCATTATTTAACCAGGTAAAAGACCTAATAGGGACAAGAGTGGCCTTGCAGCAGACAAACACAAATGGAAAATAACCAAAAGCCAAAAGAAAATAGGATGCAGAGTCAATTTAAGTGTCACACACAACTAGATTTGAATGTTGTATTCCTGTTGCAAAGCAAACCATCACTAGGTGAAATAGTAGATGCAAATAAATGGTAACGCTTCCTTTTACAGTCCTGTTACCCATGTACTTACTATGTACTTATTATAATAATTATAATTACTGGGTAGTAACTAGGTACTAACCCTGAACCTACCCCTAACCCATGTACTTACCTTATATTAGCCAGTACTTTCTAGGTAAGTACACTGTAAGTACATGTAAGTACTGTACTGTAAAAGGAAGCGTTACCATTAACTAGCCAGTTAAAAATGGATTTATGATTCTTTAGCACACAATGTGTTAAAACTCCAATCACTTTCTTTTACTTGTATTTAACCGCAAAATTCCTATAGTAATTATTTAATCCAGTAAGCAATGGAGTCTGTTTTCCTCTGCAGACTTTAATAATAATTTACACTTCTATATTTATATTTATATTCAGTGACTCGGCTGTTTTATGCTCTATACTGTCGGGTTTTTATGCATAATTCGCAATGCTTTATGCAATAGTTCATTGCGACAAAGAAGTGTAGTTTTGTCTTTGACTCTGCATTTAAACAGAAATCGCTTCTCGAACAAGAACAAATGTAGGGTGGAGCTTGATTTTGTCCGTGGGGAATTGATTGGATTGTTGTGGTTTGCTATTGGTGGATCGGATGTGAGTGACAGGTTGCTCCGCCCTCACGCCATTAAACACATCATCATCACAGGCCCTGTTTACACCTGGTATTAAGATGCGTTTCGGGCAATCGGATCACAAGTGGATGACACTAAATACAGGTGTATGAGTGTATTACGGAGCAGGGTCTAAAGCGTTTTCAGCTTGTCCACTTTCGACCACTTCCAGAGGAAGTTGAAATCACATTAGACCGGATTGCTTTCCTAGAGTAAACGCTCATGTGGTCGAGTGGGTTAAAAACAGCCTCAAAAGACCGTCTACTGATCTAATGCGTGAACATTATGGTACATACATTTACCCGCCCCATAGACCCTCCCCTAGAAGAAATAAGGACAGAAGTGGCTGAAAGTGGACAAAAGAGACGGATTTAAACACCAGGTGTGAACGGGAATGTGTCTCCCTCGTCTACTTGTGATCCGATCGACCAAAACACATCTTAACACCAGGAGTAAACGGGGCCGGAAAGAGAAGAGATGTCGCTGCAAGAGGGAGTGGAAGATATTTTAATTAAAGCTTAAAAGGGCATATGATTTTTTTCTTTAAATGGACAGATAAAATCATTTAAAATAAATACTGTAATATTCCATTGAAAAACAATGTTGTGATTCATCTCAGAGCTGGTTGTTTCAGTTCATGTCTTTTAACTTGGGGTGTAGCGATACCCTCATGTCACGATTCAACACATATCACGATACGATATTATTGCGATACTCCAAGACGTATGGTAAAAGGTTACAAAGGTTACAAAAAACGAATGGAAAAAATACAGCTGTGCTCTTTCTCTTCCAGCCATGGCTCTAAGCCCCACCCTCATCTTCACTCTCGCTCTGATTGGCTGCTGCGCTCTGGAGGACCCGCCCACTCTCCAGGCCCCGCCCCCTCCTCATGGGTGTGGCTCTACAGTGGACCCGCCCTACAGAGTTCTGTGCGACCTGGAGTCTGTGTGGGGCGTGGTGCTGGAGGCCGTAGCGTGCGGTGGGACCATATCCGCTTTGATTCTGGTCATGATTCTGTTAGCCAAGCTGAAAACGGTAACGGAACCGGAGAAACGGTGTGGCGTTGGTCCCCTCCTCCTCCTATTGGCCGGAACGGTTGGCCTCTTCACCCTATCGCTGGTGTTCTTGGTGGGGCGTGACGAGGTGCTCTGCATGGTGCGGCGTGGCCTGTGGGGGGTGCTGTTCGCCATGTGTTTCTCGTGTTTGCTAGTGCAGGGAGTGCGACTGAAGAAGCTAGCCGGAGGGAGGCGGAGCCTAGCGGGGAGTTCTCTCACCGGATTGGCTGTCGCACTCACCGTGGTTCAAGGAATCATCGCTGGAGAGTGGCTGCTGCTTACGGTGGTCCGTGAGGGACACGCCGCCTGCGATTACCTGCCTTTAGACTTCGTGTTGGTGTGCAGCTACGCTCTAGTGTTGTTGCTAGCCGCCACTGTGCTGTCGTTAGCCGTCGTGTTGTGCGGCGGGAGCAACCGAGAGGAGTCGAGCAGGAAGAGGATGAAGTGGAGGTGTAACGCCGTCTGGCTTTTCCTCTCATGTCTCTCTTCGCTTCTCCTCTGGGTCGCCTGGCTCGGTCTCTATCTCTACGGCAACGCTGGCATCATGACCGCGGCGAAGGATTGGGATGAGCCGGCATTGGCGGTTGCCTTGGTGACCGAGGGTTGGATACTGTTGTTATTTCACGCTATCCCAGAAACACACCTGTGTTTGCGTCCGTCCGGTCAGAGGAACGCAGACTCCGGGCAGAACTACTACGACACCCCTCAGCCCCCGGCGGCGCAAAGTTACCATGACGACGAGCGGCCAGCCAATCCCAGAGCTCCGTTCACAGAGAGTCAGGCGTACACTGTAGAGGAGCACAGCGCAGGTGGGTCGTTAAACAAAAACATGTTCAACGTTATGGGGAGGTTAGGTTTTGGTTATAACATTTTTTTTTAAATAACCATCACAGACAGCAACATAGTGTTGGCCCAGATCCGGGCCACATCTGGATTCAACGCGTACCAGATGTAGGCCGGATCTGGGCCGGCACTATGTTGCTGTCTGTGATTAGAGAACTTTCTGTCTATAGGTTCTCTTCAGGTTGTTACAAAAACCTTCCTGCAACGTTCTGGGAAGGTTAGGTTTTGGTTACAAAAAATAAGCTACAGAGAATCTTTCTAGAACGTTATTATTTGGTTCTCAAAAAAATAACCAAATGGCAAGTTTGGCAACCATATGGGAATGTTAGGGGAATGTTTGTGTATTCAGGGGAGAAACATGCAAAACTTCATTTATGTTAATTTAATGGTAATTTAATTGCCCATATGTTTAAATTAGGGCTGTCAAAAGATTAATCGCGATTAATCGCATCCAAAATAAAAGTTTGTGTTTACATAATATATGTGTGTGGACTGTGTATAATTATTTTGTATATAAATGCACACACGTATATATTTCAGAAAAATATGTTATTTATATATAAAATGTTTATATTTATATAAAATATACATTGTATATAGGCTACATTCAGTCTATATACAGTATATACATGCAAATATTTCTTAAATACACATGCATGTGTGGGTATTTATGTATTAAAAATAATTATACACAGTATACACACATATATTATGTAAACACAAACTTTTATTTTGGATTAATTGTTTGACAGCCCTAGTTTAAATAATTCATATTTCTTCTTTCAGCTTTATGCTGTATGGACAGATTAGTGTTATTACACAGATTTCCTATCATTTTTTGTTTGTTTGTTTTATATAATAATATACATATTTAATATATATTGTTATGGTTTTCACAGTTCTGCAGGCTGGAGGTTATCATAACGGATTGATCCGGCCCGCAATGCCCTTCAGGAGTCACGTTTACCAGCCCACTGAGATGACACTGCTCATGAATGCAGGACAGGTGAGATACAATACTATACATTAACAATACGTTTAGATACTGAATGAGTCTCAGGCTCACACACACACACGATTCGCCCCCTGCTTTGTGTTTTAGATCCCAACCGCCCCTCCAAACTTTACAGGGAGGCATCTGTGGTGAGAGCGGCCACCATGGCAATAATGTCCTCTTCTACTTCGGCTGGCTTCACAGGGTCGAAAGGCACTTTATTACGGTTCCATGTTAATAATTTGGGAATGCTCCACTAATAAAAAGACCTAAAGTAAAGCTGATTTAATTTAATGGGCATTTTCAACATGGGAGCAGGCTAATTTTGCACATGATCTCTTTTAAGTGCTTAATACAAAATACAGGACGCATTACATATTTGATATCACACTGATGATGTCTGTTTAGATTAAACGAATCAGACAAATCATGAGCTGATGAGGACCTGTCAGAATTTACATAAAAAGATAAGTCCATACGAAACGCCATTCACAAGCCCATTTTACTTACAATGCAACATTTCTGAGCGTAAGAGAATAATTGTTTATGATTAATGGTTTAAATCATTGTGAAGTGTCACCATATGGCAAGTGATTGGAACATGTTCTAAGCATGTTTTGCTAATGTTCTCATTAAGTTATGAAAGCGTTTTTTTTCTGAATGTTAGCTGAACGTTCAAAGCGTCCAGGTTTTAAATGTTTTAAAAACACTTTTTCTTGGTAATATATTTGTTTTGATTATTCTCCAAACATTCTGAAACAAGTAGTAGCATTTAAAAAACATTATTTTTGTACTAACGTTTTGAGAACATTATTAAAGACCAGATAACACTGAACGAATATTCAATAGAGAGCAAAGGCTGGGTTCTGGAAGTTAAAACTTCATTCATTTTCTCCATAGGGAAATTGATTTTTAAACAATAACTTATAAATGTTCAAAGACATCCTTACTGTGAGCTGTGAGGTTGTTAATCAATGGTGTTTGTTTCTGCTGAAGATGTCAGCCCACATTATTTCAGCTTATTTTTAAAATAATCGTGTTTAACAGTGGAATTCCTGGTGAAAAACTACATTACCCATGATGCTGTTCAAAAATGCCACCAATCAGAGTCGAAACAAGCAACAGGCACCAAAATAGCTCTTTAGCTCCGCCCACTACCATGAAGCGCTGCTAGTGTGCTTTTATTTGTATAGACATATGCATATTTTGCAAAAAACTTCAAATATATTATTTTTTTATATACAATCAACATTTGTAAATGAGAAGCTGTATACTCCTCCATCGTTTTTAATTAAATTATACTTCACGGGATTGTAATTCTTTACCTCACCAAAGCTGTTAAGTAGGCTACACAGTCTTGTAATTTTAAATTTAAATTTAAATTTTTTAACTTTTTTGCTTCAGATCAAAGTTTTTAGTGTTGTGATTCACCTTGTAGCTGACTGGCTTAATGAATAATAAAGACTTTTTTTAAATCCCAATGGGAGAAATAAATGGAAAAAATACTTCCGGAACTAGCGGGCGCTGTTGCACTCAATTACCGTCACTGGAATAACATTTGTTCAAAACTTTGAGAGAACCTTGCCAGAACGTTCGGAGAACGTCCCTGTTAGCTGGGTGGGGATCTGTGATGTCAGTCAAAAAGGCACGTTATTTCACAGTCCCGTTTACAAAGAATAACATATGAATTATTCAAAATGTAACCAAAAATGTGTATTAAGGAAGTAAATAGGGTTTTCATGTGATTTCATGTTGACTTTACAGAAAGATTGTGTGAGAGAGAATGAAAAATTGATTATCTCATTAATTTCTAGCCTTAGCAAATCTTCTGCCTGCATTCCACTGTAAATAATCAAAATCTATAACTTTGAAATTTATTAAAATGTATTTAATTTACTTAAACTGTTTTGTATAAATAGCCCAATTGTTAAACCTTTTAAAAATGTTTATCTTTTCTTTATGTTTGTTTTGATATCACATGAGCGTTTGGTGTTTTTTTCCCCCAAACTTTGCACGCTTGATTGCCAGTCTTCATGATGCAGTTGATGCTATTCATCTATAAATTTTACGCCGTGTTTGATCTTGTAAGGCAATACTGTGTTGAGAGTGTTCTCTGGAGTAATGAATGTGTAACGTATGATTGCTGCAGTCTCACAGAATGAGACACTTTCAACAGGGTCGGTGGAAAATCCTGAATTCGCTCTTTATTATGCTCGTGGTGTTCAGATCAATCGCAAAGAATGGTTGTATTTTTCCCTATATTTGGATGTCTCTATATTTGAAATAAATTATAATAAACATTCCTACCGTGTTTTCAAATCGTCTCCTGTCACTGTTTGCAAACTGCGTTGTGCGCATGCGCACACGCGTTCTTCTGCTGTTGTTTAAAAATGGCGGTTGGCAAAACATGATGCATTTTCTAGCGGACGCGTTCAGTTGCTGTTACCAAGGAAGTGGACGAGCGATTTCTTCCGGATTAAGAAGAGTCAAAAGGAAAGCTTTCCCACGTGTGGCGAATGTGTAAGTAATAAAACATACATGTAACTCAAATAATACAGTGCGTTAAACGAGTAATAATATTAACCTGCTGATAGCGAAGCGCTCGCTCGCTGCATATAACGTTACTTATGCACGTCATTTAACTGCGTTTTAACGATACAAGTTGTTTGAATAATGTTGTTATAATAAGATGCTTCTGTATTTTACAAATTAAAAGATATTTTTTTAAAATTGACCCAGCTGTCATGGCATACACACATCAACCTAATGTCATTTTTATGTTTTTCCTTCTCGACACAAAAACAGCCTAGAACTGAATAAGTTAATGAAAAATACATTCATGCTAAATAATTAAAGGGTTAGTTCCATTAAACCATAACTATACCATAATTCATTCACCCTCAAGCCATCCTAGGTCTATATGAGTTTCTTCTTTCAGCCAAACATAGTCAATCGAAGTTATATTTAAAAAAAAATCCTGGCTCTTCCCATCTTTATAATGGGAGTGAATGGTACCTTAGATTTTGAAGCCCAAAAAGCATATCCACCTATCATAGAATATATCCATATGGCTCCAGGGGGGTTATTAAAGGCCTTATGAAGCAAAGTGATGTGTTTTTGTGAGAAAAATATTTAAAACTTCATAATCACTGGCTAGTTCCGGTGCAAGAGTGACCTATAAATAGTTAATTTCTTATAACTTATGAATATACATTTGAATGTTACTTATAAATATGAATGTCATTTATCTGTCCCAAATAATGTTGTTTTCCTGCGTTTGCAGATGGTGAAGGCTGATCCAGAATCTGAAATCTGAGAAAAGTCAACAAACAGAACCAATGAAAAGCAACTCGAGGATGCAAAAAGCAAGAAGAACAAAGAGAAGAAGTTTTTGAGGAATCCGCTGACGATTTCATTCAACTCAGGAAAACATGGCAGTTGATGGGGCGACCAAAGAGAAGAAGAAAAAGAAGAAAATAAAGGTGAAGGAAGAAGTCGTCGTTCAGGATGCGGGAAACACAAATGTGATGCAGTGTCATGATGTGTCCGTTCAGACTGTTGTGAAAAAAGAACCGCTGATCGTAAACGCCAGAGATAAGGAGAAGAAGAAGAAGAAGAAAAAGAAAGTGAAGGAGGAGGTGGAAGCAAACAGCCCCGTGACGGTGTGTCACGATGTGTCCGTCCAGACCACCGTCAAAGCTGAGCGCTCAGAAATCAATATCAGCGATGCTCCTGAAAAGACCTTCAAGAAGAAAAAGAGGAAGATGAAGGAGGAGGAGCCAGAAGAGGATGGAGAGCATTTAGTGTCCAAGAAAAAGAAAGGCAAGAAAAAAGGATATGAAGATGAGGTGGAAGGTATTCAAAATCAAAAGAAGAAAAAGGAGGTGGAGGTCAAAGAGGAAGATGTCGATTTAGGATACTGTGTAGAGACGGTGAAAAAGAAGAAGAAAAAAAGAAAACCAAACGCAGGATTGGAGGACGGAGAAACAAAGACAAGGAAAAGGAAAAAGACAGAAGCTGATGAATGCATAGAGGAAGTGCAAAAGGTGAGAAAGAAGAAGAATAAGAAGAAGAAACCTGATGACGTCATCAGCTCAGAGACAAAGCCGGAGAAGAAGAGCAAGAAGCAGAAGAAGGATTTAAAATGCGCGGACGACGGGGAGAGTCTTCCTCACGCGAACGGAGGACCCGTCAGCTCGCCGGATAAGAGGACGAAAAAGAGCGTCAAGGTGAAGGCTGATGATGTCATCGAGAAGATGGAGGAGGAGCCGGCGGGAAAGGAGGAGAGGAAAGAAGTGCAGAACAAGACGCCGGACAAAGTTAAAAAGACGGACATTAAAGAAGAGCGTCGTGAAGCGCTGAGGGCGAGTAAAACGGTGAGTCTCGCTGAGGTTTATTCTGCTGCGGACAAACTGAGGCTTGTGATTGGCTGTTGACATCACTGGCATGATAATTACGTTTACTCTTAGTGTGTATATTTGACGTTCACAAGGTAATTTCATTAATATCAATGTTGTTTTAGAGTTATTTATGTACTTAAGTATTTATTCATATTTTGAAATATTTTAATTTTAGTTAAAGTTTTAGTAATTTTGTTGTATTTTTCTCAACAAATATGTCTATAATTTAAAAATGGCAGTATAGTTTTTATGTTTCTGTTTAAGTTATTTTAGTACATCAAGGCCAACTAAATAAAATTGAGAAATGTTGCCTTGGCAACTAGCTGAAATAAAATAGTTTTTTTTTTAAATAATTTATTTCAAATAACAAAAATGTTTTATTATGCTTTTAGTTTCAGTTTGAATTTTAGTTTAACTCTACTAACCCTGCTTCATACCAGTGTTATTTTAGTATTTTATATATATTATATTAATATTTGAATTAGATTTTATTTTTATATTTGAATTTTTTCTAGTAATTTTGTTAAGTATTTTTGCCCTGCTTTTGTCGTTTTTATTCATTGTTTGTAAATATTTATCTTTAATATTTTATTTAAACTTATTTCAGTTTTCATTTTTTTAGTTGTATTTTCTTTCAGCTTAATTAACAAAACATTTTTTTAATAGTTTTTAATAAATATCTTTAATAGTTTTAGTTAACAATAAAAACACTGGTCAATATCCAGGTCAACGTCAAAAGAAAGCACCCAATTTATTTGCACTATAATTTTTTTTCTAAAATTAATATTGATTTAATTTACGTATAATTTCTATTGTTTTAAATGATGATTCTCATTTCCGGAATACAGTACCGGTAAGTAAAATCGTCCTTTTTTTATAATTTGCATATTAAAGGTTGTACAAATACTACCATATTCAATATTTTAATAATATATCTTTTCTTGCATATTACAATAATTAAAGTGAAGTGGGCTTTTGGGAACGAAGCGGGAATTTACCTCATGTCTGATAAAGAAAGTGTACTGCGTTTAGTAGCTTTATTTGACATTACAAGTGCATCACACACTCACATATTTCTCCACCTGCACTCAGAGAGATATCGTGTTCCTGTCGGCAAAGCCTGGAAACCAGGACGAGGTTTCAATAGATCAGGTAAAGCGCCAGATCACCAATTATGTTTTACATATGATATCCCTCATGTTGAGATGTGATTAAAACACTGTTTTATTCCCCAGGCGCGCCGTCTCGCCCTACAGATGGACATCGACAAGGAGTCGCAGCCGAAGCCGGTCAGTTTCCAGTATATATTTCGGTCCTAAAGCAGCTTTGCAATCAGTACTAATGTGAATGTGAATCTGTTTGTAGACTCTGGGCCAGTGGGGCACGGCACAGTTCGACAGCCCCGACAGACAAAACAAGTTCCTGCGCTTGATGGGCGGCTTTAAGAAGAGCAGCCAGCCAGTCGCGGGATCCCCCGGCTCGGCCAACATGGCGCTGGGGAAAGAAGGCCAACAGACTTTGCAGCAAGGCCTTCTGGGAGAGTTTGAGCGCGCTCAGAGCCACCACATGGACTTCAAAATGAAAGGAGCCGGATTGGGGTTCGCAGCGCCGTCCAATAAGAAGTTTACGATCGATGCTAACGCGCGGAAGTCCGTGCGATTCGACGACTGAGGGAGAGATCTGAAAGTGAACGCTCGGTCATCATTTACTCAGGAATCATAAAACCCAAAAAACACAAGATATACGTCCATAAGTCCACAAGATATATGTTCGAAATGTATAGAAGCTCGTTTCCGCCATGGAATAGAAAATAAAAGAGGTAATGGCGACTTTTTATTTCAAAATTCCGACTTTTTTCACGCAATTGAAAGTTTCTCGCAATTCCTACTTTTTTTTCTCAGAATTGCAAGATTTAATTATAATTGTGAGATATAAACTAACAATTCTGAGCACAAAAAAAGAAAAATTCTTCAGAATTACACTAAAACTCGCAATTGAGAGTCAGATTAGTGAGTTTATTTCTCACAATTCTGACTAAATCTCGCAAGTGCGAAAATATCTCGCAGAATTGCGAGATTTAGCCAGAATTGTTAGATATGAACTCACTAATCTGAGAAAAAACACAGAATTGCAAGTTTATATCCCATATTTCTGACTTTATAACTTGCCATGGCAACTTTATATCACGCCGGTCTGAGAAACAAAGTCAGAATTACGAAATTCTGTGGCGGAAACAAGCTTCCATTGAAATGACAGGGTTTTGAGTAAATGATGACAGAATGTTCATTTTTAGGCGAACTGCTTCCTTTAATGTGTAAATCTACATGGGTTTATAAAATACTGGTGTATTTGACTTATTTTTTTATTTTATTTTTGGTCCTAAGAGATGTTGTACTCAGGTGAGATATCAGGAGATGGATTTGAGTTCATCATGGGATTTTCCCATGAAAATGATACTAAAAGAGAAGGACAACAGGAAAGGCTGAATAAAGACACTGGATTAGAGCTGTCATGGTGGTTATGAATTTATCATTATTGGCATTGCATTATAAGCAGTGTTTGTTATGGTGCTTTTGTCATTTCGCTAAGACTTGTTTTGACTTGCATTGCATTCAAGGTATTTATGCAAGATCTTAAAGTTTGGGGTCTGTAAGATTTTATGCTCACCAAGGCTGCATTTATTTGATCAGTAAAAACAGTAATATTGTGAAATATTAGAGCAAATTTAAAAACTGTTATTTATGAGAATATATGTTTAAATGTAATTTATTCCTGTACATTTTCAGCATCACATGATCCTTCAGAAATCATTCTAATATGATGATTTGTTGCTCAAGAAACATTTATTATTATTATTATAATATTGAAAACAGTTGTGCTGGTTATTATTAGGTGGAAACTTGTGTTTTTTTACAGGATTCTTTGATGAAAAGAAAGTTCAAAAGAACATAATTTATTTGAAATAGAACATTATAAATGTATTTACTGTCACTTTTGATCCACTTAAATCATCCTTGCTGAATACAAGTATTAATTTCTTTAGAAAAATGTAATCTTACTGACCCCAAACTTTTGAGTAGTAGTGGATTTCTATCAGTTCTTGCAATCCTGGGATTGAAACCCACATTTGAGTTACAAGTAAATCCTCCAGTGTCTGTGTCGAGTCTTTATAGCAATGAAACACTCAGGCAAAATTGAGCTGAGCTCATGTTGTTAAACTTTATTTTTCTTCTTCTTTTGAAACACATGACCTCTAAAAACAGTTACAGACAAAAGGACAGAATAAGGAAAAGGTATCAGATTAGACATTTCCAGATAATCTGAATAAAAGCAGCAAGAGGTAAAAGTAAATTCATCTCCGGCTGACTATTTCTGTGGTTCATGTGCTTTTAAGAGTTAGAAAACAGTGTTGCCAAATGTTATTGCTCTATAAACTTCAAATCCCGTTGTGAAAGACTGAAAATCTGTTGCAGAGACTGAGATTGTTGACAATAGCACAGTTCCAGTTCTCTACTGTTGGTTTTCATCAAACCTTTCATCAAATCTGCCCTGGATGAGACGAAGAACATACTTCAATAGTTTATGTTCTTGGTTTCTGTCAACATTCACACCGGCATAACAGATTTGGCCAAAGACAAACTCAACACTAACCTCTAATCCTAGGCAATTTGGTTTAATATAAACATGAAGCTAGAAGAGTGAATCTCACAAAAACCTCAATAACGTCAAGGTCATATTTCACCCACAATTAAAAAGGAAAAAATATATATTTTGCATTAAGGTTTCTGCATTGTAACATTTTCTTGATGCACATTTTACAACACAATTCTCATTACCATAACATTTCATTCATGTCTCTCTCTCTATATATATATATATATACACATACAGTATGTTTACATCATGTAATATTTGTTGTACTATCATCAATCAATGCTGATGTAAAAAGTACTTTCATTGCAGTAATGAGAATTATTTTTGAAAATAAAATGAATTACAAAAATAAAGCAAAACTTTCAGATGCATTACAGTAATGAGAAATTGCAGCTAAACATGCTTTATTGTCAAGAAAATACAACAAATTGCAACACAAAAAATATCAATTGCCCTAAAAACAGGCGTCTGTTGGTTCACCTTACACAAAAAATAATTTATTTTCTTCTTTTTGATTTTGCACTTAAAACGTGACCCAGCAACATTCTGTTTACTTCAGATTCACTCATAATTTGTTCAATGTTTAAAGAAGCTGAATAATATGACATTCCCGCTCATGTTTCAGAGCTTCCAAAAGCACTGCAAGACATCTGAATATGTGACATCACAATCCAAGTGTGTCGGCGCACCTAGAGCGTCATGAATGCCAGAATACTGCTTAGTAATGCAAGTACACTCGGATTAGGGTCATGTGATCGGCTGTCGACGGGTTCTTTGCATTGACAGGCAGTGTGGAATGTGACAGGAGATATAAACCATCAAGAGTCACACCTAGAATTCCGAACATACACGAGAGTTCCGTGAGAGAAGGGGGCGTGTCTTTGAAGCTGTGTGTTCCAGTGGGTGTGGTCTAGGGTTCCTGTGGGCGTGGCTTAGGCCTGCAGGTACTCCGGCTGTACCCGCGCGACCTTGCGAAACTCTTTGGCGTGCGTGCGAGGACACTGCATCTCACACCAGCTGATGGGCACCATCTGAGCCCCTGCGGGAAGAGATTTCACACGGCATGAGTGACACGAGCGAGGGCAGCACTTCATTAAAGGGATAGTTCACCCAAAAATGAAAATCAGCCCATGATTTACTCATCCTCAAGTCATCCTAGGTGTATATGACTATCAAAACTTTCTAATACAATCGGAGTTATGTTAAAAAAAATGTCCTGGCTCTTCCGAGCTTTATAATGGCAGTGAATGGCCGTGTTTGTTTTGAAGTCCATAAAACTGCATCTATCCATGATAAAAGTGCATCTATCCATGATAAAAGTGCATCTATCCATGATAAAAGTGCATCTATCCATGATAAAAGTGCATCAATCCATCATAAAAGTCTATCCATGATAAAAGTGCATCTATCCATGATAAAAGTGCATCTATCCATGATAAAAGTGCATATATCCATGATAAAAGTGCATCTATCCATGATTAAAGTGCATCTATCCATCATAAAAGTGCATCTATCCATGATAAAAGTGCATCTATCCATGATAAAAGGGCATCTATCCATGATAAAAGGGCATCTATCCATGATAAAAGGGCATCTATCCATGATAAAAGTGCATATATCCATCATAAAAGTCTATCCATGATAAAAGTGCATCTATCCATGATAAAAATGCATCTATCCATGATAAAAGGGCATCTATCCGTGATAAAAGGGCATCTATCCATCATAAAAGTCTATCCATGATAAAAATGCATCTATCCATGATAAAAGTGCATCTATCAAGTGCATCTATCCATGATAAAAGTGCATCTATCCATCATAAAAGTGCATCTATCCATGATAAAAGTGCATCTATCCATCATAAAAGTGCATCTATCCATGATAAAAGTGCATCTATCCATCATAAAAGTGCATCTATCCATGATAAAAGGGCATCTATCCATCATAAAAGTGCATCTATCCATCATAAAAGTGCATCTATCCATGATAAAAGGGCATCTATCCATCATAAAAGTGCATCTATCCATGATAAAAGTGCATCTATCCATCATAAAAGTGCATCTATCCATGATAAAAGTGCATCTATCCATCATAAAAGTCTATCCATGATAAAAATGCATCTATCCATGATAAAAGTGCATCTATCAAGTGCATCTATCCATGATAAAAGTGCATCTTTCCATCATAAAAGTGCATCTATCCATGATAAAAGGGCATCTATCCATGATAAAAGTGCATATATCCATCATAAAAGTCTATCCATGATAAAAGTGCATCTATCCATGATAAAAATGCATCTATCCATGATAAAAGGGCATCTATCCGTGATAAAAGGGCATCTATCCATCATAAAAGTGCATCTATCCATGATAAAAGTGCATCTATCTTTCCATGATAAAAGTGCATCTATCCATCATAAAAGTCTATCCATGATAAAAGTGCATCTATCCATCATAAAAGTGCATCTATCCATCATAAAAGTCTATCCATGATAAAAGGGCATCTATCCATGATAAAAGTGGATCTATCCATCATAAAAGTCTATCCATGATAAAAGTGCATCTATCCATCATAAAAGTCTATCCATGATAAAAGGGGATCTATCCATCATAAAAGTGCATCTATCCATCATAAAAGTGCATCTATCCATCATAAAAGTCTATCCATGATAAAAGTGCATCTATCCATCATAAAAGTGCATCTATCCATCATAAAAGTGCATCTATCCATCATAAAAGTCTATCCATGATAAAAGTGCATCTATCCATCATAAAAGTCTATCCATGATAAAAGGGCATCTATCCATCATAAAAGTCTATCCATGAATAAAGTGCATCTATCCATGATAAAAGGGCATCTATCCATCATAAAAGTCTATCCATGATAAAAGGGCATCTATCCATGATAAAAGTGCATCTATCCATCATAAAAGTCTATCCATGATAAAAGTGCATCTATCCATCATAAAAGTCTATCCATGATAAAAGTGCATCTATCCATCATAAAAGTCTATCCATGATAAAAGGGCATCTATCCATCATAAAAGTCTATCC